TATTATTATTATATTAAGAACAATGCATTAAAATGTACATAAAATTCCATGTTGGGAAAAAAACCCAAAAGTCTCAAAATCTGGTACAAAACAAAGACAGCATGAAAATGAAAGGTGAGATTCAGAGAAATGTCTCTACATCAAGACTAAGAGATTTTCACATTCCTTGCTGAATTTGGGTCTGTTGGCCAGGCAGATGATTTGGAAAGCCAGTTGAGGACATTTAATAATCTTAAAATGATAATAATCTTAGAACTGCAGAGTTGGAAGAAGCCCTATGGACTGTTGAGTCCAGCCTCTGTCAAGTAGACTCAGTAGGAAATTAAATTCCCAACCTCTGGCTCCACAGCCAGATGCCTAAACCTATCAATATATGGTGTGCTTCTTCCAGAGGTGAGAAGTATGCAGTGTGTCCATAAAGTCTTCGTACTCCAGATGACTTTGCCTCTGCACTGGCTTGTTTACCCATCCATATAGTTGCTCGAGAAAACGGAAGGCACAGTTCTTATTTATCCAATAGTTACATATCTTGGTATTTCATATCACTGAACTTCAATGAATGGCCATTTTTAAACTGCTCATTAAAAATATGCATGAGGCAACACGTAAATACAAAAATTGTGATCATTTGTTTACCTTCTTAGTATACTGCAAAGTGTATAATATTAAAAAATTGTGGTGAATCATATTTGTTATATTGTATTTTTCACTAATATAAACCTGTGAGGAGGATGTTCCTAACTATGTGCATTTATGAATACAGATCTAAGCTTAAATTAATATTGGTATTGGAATCTCCTTGTTAATTTTGTTAGCTAAGAAAAGGAGCAGAAGGTATGGATTAATGTTTTATTTTTCTCTCTGTCTTTAACAGATGAGGATAGGGATTCACTCAGGTTCAGTTCTGGCTGGAGTTGTTGGTGTAAGAATGCCAAGATACTGTCTCTTCGGCAACAACGTCACCCTGGCAAGCAAATTTGAGTCAGGAAGCCATCCGCGCCGGATCAATGTCAGCCCAACAACATACCAGTATGTGCTTATCAGCCTTCCTATTTATAATATGGTCTCTTTAGGCTCTAGGAGGTTCTGAGGTATTCACACGGGCACAAAGCAAGACCCAAGGTGCGATTTCGCAGAGACCATGAGGAAGAAGAATTCAATCACAGAACAGAAAGTGGCCAGTGTTAACAACCTTAAAGGGGGGGGACTTCCTTCCTTCCTTCCTTCCTTCCTTCCTTCCTTCCAAAAAACTTTGTAGTGCATCTGTAAAAAAATCTGACTATGTTATATTTGCTGCCCAAACAAGAATACAATCACTGCACTCTTTACCTGGTGCTGCAGCTGGTCCAAAATTTCCTCAAGAAGTTGTGGCCAGATATGAGAAGTGTGCTTTATTGGTGAAAAATTGCACATGCTTCTTTTCCCACTTTAGAAGGACCACAGATTTATAGGGCAAAGCAGCAACCACATTCCAGCTTTATTGAAGACACAATTTAATTTTGAAATGTTTAATAAATGTATTTAAATAAAAAATATACTATAGAAAAACATCAGTAAAAATTACAATCCTGCAAAATAACACAAACATCAAGAGCATCAGATGGCATTGCCAAATTAAGTTAGCACGTCTCTCCATAGATCAACATGAGAGGGTGGGGGTCGCTGAAGGAATCAGTATAATTATTTACAATATTGAATAAAAGGGAGCCAAGTTTTACAAACGGAGTCTGTCCTGGACTTCTGGTACGTGAATCGCGAGCGTAAAGTGAGGTTTGTTTTCCATCTATGCTGATTTCAGTACTCTAAATTCCCAAGCACTTATTCAAATAACTTCTGGTCCACAGTACAGGTTATGTATCAAGATAGTCAAGTGCTGAGGCACACACACCAAGTTCTGTGATGTGTTCGATGGAGTCAAATAGTCAGCGTCTAATGTCCTCCCTGCTATTGTGAGGGAGACTATTTTGTTTTCTGAGTCATCTTCTTATTTTTAAGTGTTGTTTTGATATTCTAATTCCACAAGCAAAATTGGTATTCTGCCAGACATCGCTATAAATCAGAATGTGGTTCTCAACAGCAGAATGTGAATTGCAATATGGAAATAATTATCTGAACTGTAGCTGTCACTCCATTAAAGAAATCTTAGTCAATTAAATGAGAAGCTTCTTGAGGTACTTTGACTGCAGATTGTAGGGATTAAATCTGGAAACACAGCACACAGACTTTGTGTTCCTGGGCTCCTGCCTCCACATCATTAGTAGCACGGCCCCCTGCCTACCTCTCAGTAGGATAAGAACACTCGAACCAGCAAGTAAGGTCAGCATCAAGCCAAGATCAACAGCAAGACAAAATGTGTACAGTGACTCTATATAACACCCCATAATCACCTGGTGTATGTCATCTGGCAGTTCTGCTCTCTTTCACATTCTTGCAGAACTGAATGTTTGGGCTAATGATTTAATGACAACGTTGAGAATACAGATTTTGACAGGGCATGTGGCAGTTTTACTTCAGCCTCTGAAACGCTGAACATTTGAATCTGAGCTCAGCAAGAAACAAAAAGCAAAGCAAGCAGGACAGGTATTTTACATTGAATGTAAAGTAATACGGGAAGAGCTGGTGTACATGTGTCTAGCTTCACAAGATCTTCTGGCACCAAAACAAACTCTATATGTCCTTTAGAGCTGTGAAGTATTAATGGTTATGGTGTTAATTAATTTGTACATTTAAAATATTTTTACCCCACCTTAAGGACCCAAAGGCATCCGGTTGTAATAATGGGTAACTGTAACATTTGGCCAATGGCAGCTGCAGTCCAAGAACACTTGGCATACCCAAGGTTGGGAACCACTGAGCTATGAAATGCCGTATCTGTGAAGGACCTCTTGGTGCCAACATTTGCTTCTTTTCAGTGCTAAGTTAAAACACAACCCTTCATTCAGCTTCTTGGCCCATTGATGACTGTCTCTCATCTGTTGAATCATAGCTTTCTATCTAGTGATTCATTCTGCTGAATTGTTTTAAACGGTTTTATAATTCTTTTGAGGTGTTGTTGCTGAGCTTTCTAGATGCAGGTTCGGAAATTGCTTGCTTGGTGGCTTGAACGAATTTCTTTCTCAGCCACCAGCATGTGTTTAAACTTGTGCAAGGAGTGGAGAACAGGATTGCTTCTGCTAGCCCCATCTTCAGCATCATGTGTTGCATTGCAGATGTCAACCAAAAACAGTTCCTGCAGGGGCAAGGTCAGTTGCTGTACAGATGTCAACCATGTCTCTTAGGGTTACATGTTTGTGTCAAAATACATATAGAAGATATCTCATCCTTACACAATAACTATGGTCTCAGGTTCTAGGTTGGCATTCAAAAAACTGTTGTTGATATTTATGGATAGCAAAGCCAGCTCTATTCTAAGGAGTTCTTTCCCTTGTTTGTGATATCTTTTCTTAGTACAGTATACAGTTCTTGCTGGATTTGGCTACTGTCTTCCATCTCATGTGTGAATGGAGCACCAAGCTACATGTCCTTCCCACTGCACATGAGAGGTTTCTCCCATCCACCATGGAATGGTTCATAAGTGCTATAGCTGACCACATGTTAGACTGCTGGGAAGGACAAAGGAGCCCTCTGTACCTTTCCCGGGCCAGCTGGTAGATGAACAGCACAGGGCTGGATTCTGGTGACTGTTTATGTAGTGTGCAAAAGGAACAATGACAGAGTCCAGGAGATAGATACTATTTCCTCCCTTCTCACCAGAAGCCTTTAGGAAAGTGTTAGGAAATCTCTGTGGTCCCCCAAATGTTAATGGGAGAAAGCACGGAAAGTTGCAGAAGCTGATAGGAATTTGTGCGCAGTAGTTATGGAGGGCCATGCTTTAGAAAATTAAAAACATGTTTATGGCTTCTCATAAGCATCAGCCTATGGCCCTCCATAACCACAGTGCACAAATTGCCCTTCATGGGAACAGAAGCTTGGCCTCTGGTCTGATATAACAAAAACAACAAACTCTTCTGATATAATTCAGGGGTGCTACATGATCTTTCCAAGCAGGTGGTCTCAGATTCAAAACCTGGCATCTTTTGTTTAAGAAAAAATTAAGTAGCAAACAGTAGAAAACTCCACCTTCTCCCTGAGGTCCTGGAGAGGCAAGTTTGCTCTGGGCTAGGTGGATGTTATATAAAAGTTCCCTGTGCTCTTAATAGACTGATTCTGATGGTACCAAACAGCACTCATTTCTGGCAGGACTTTTCCACTAGCAGGAGGTTCTGTGCCTGGATTGTTCCTATTGACCCAAGCACCTGCTTAGTTATGTGTTTTGCAGATCATTCTAAAGGGAAGGGAAAAACTTGGGTGCACTGAGAGAATTGTTCTTGAAATGCCTTTTCTTTGCAAATATATATGTAATACTGTCGCTACCTTTGTAAACAACCCATTCCTATTCATTTTTTTAAAGCAAGCAACTGCTTGTCTAAACTTCCAGCCAGTGAGCTGTGAAACTGAAGTAATTGCCTATTTTAGTGATAATTTCTCTGGTTTGTTGAGAAGTGGATGAATAATGAATTTGTCTGCTGGAAATTAAAGGCTTTGCTCTCTCTATAGTACCTGTACTGGCAGGCTGAAGGGGGGGACAGTGGGAGACAGATAAAATACTTAATTGCATTGGCATTTGAAAAACCTGTGGTATTATTATTTTCTATTTGTTACTTTGATGGTGAGGAAACAATTGGTTTGACTTCCTGGAATTGCTTGCCAGCTTGCTTCTCTGCTTGCCTGCTTGTATTTGAGCTGCACTACTAGACTATGACTTAGGTGCTTCTCTGCTTGCCTGCTTGTATTTGAGTTGCACTACTAGACTATGACTTAGATTAGTCATCCATCCATCCATCCATCCATCTATCCATCCATCCATCCATCCATCCATCCATCCATCCATCCATCCATCCATCCATCCATCCATGATTTTTGTTTCTACTATCCCTCCATCACTTTCAGACAAACATAAGACACTCTGCATTGATACGAACTGAGATAGCATTGGGTGACAATGGAGTTCAGTAAAGATTCTGTGTAGAGAGGGACACAAATCTGGATAATACTGGTCCATCACTTTCAGACAAACATAAGACACTGCATTGATAAGAGCTGAGATAGCATTGGATGACAATGGAGTTCAGTAAGGATTCTGTGTAGAGATGGACACAAATCTGGATCATGCTGAATTTTTGTACTGGCACCATAGTTGCCACACGGTCTGGTCTACCACACATCCTAGGCCACAGCAGGAGCATGGACGTCCCTTCTCCAGCAGCTGCCCACTAAAAGGCAGTACTGTACTGTAGCAATCCCTGCCCTGCCTTCTTATCTCAGTGGGCAGCTGCTGGAGGAGGCAGAGATGGTAAGAACATGCTCATGCCATGACTGGTGAAATGACCAAAGAAAAGGAAGAGCACAGTGCATGCTGGCTGGAGTGGGGGAATCTGGCCAAGAGGGTGGGAGATGGGACTGCATGGCACCTATAGTGCCAGTATGACAATCCAACACAAACCAACAATCTGGATTTGTGCCCATCTTTAATTTTATAATCATTCATCCACACATGCAAATTTTTAATCTGAAGGAGACCTGCCAGGTGACTGTGTTGCTTCCCCCAACCTTGGCAAACAGAAATGTTGGGTTTCAAAATAAGGAAATTGTGGAGAAGATAGCACCCTAACTTGCAGATTGCATGGTGAAGAGATGGGTGATAAATTCCAAGATGCTGCTGCTGATGGTGGTGGGGAGTTTCCAACTCCACACCCCCCACACACAAGGTGTTTACATACTTTTCAACCCACCTTTAGAAAACTTTGCCTGGCACAGACAACAACTATGCCATGAAACTTTGGGACACAGCCCGATGAAGATGGATTACTATCAAAAGCTAGCTATCTACTGAATTTTTTCAATGGTCCAATAAAGGCATCACCTACTTTTGCATTTGCATGGGTATTGATTGTGACACTCTGAATTCAACAGAAGGACAAGGGATGTGC